ATAGAGGCACTCATGTGAGACTATGTTGATGTATTTGCCTGGAAACCTAAAGACATGACATGTATTCCGAGAAGAATAATAAAACATAGGTTAATCATTAATCTGGGGTTTGTGCTTGCGAAGCAAAAGAAAAGGATGATGGAAAAAGAGCGGAATGAGATAGTCAACAAGGAGGTCACAAATTTGATTCAGACAGGGGTAGTACGACAAACACAATTTCCAAAATGGATCGCCAATCCTGTACTCGTAAAAAGGGAGATGGAACAGTGAGAATGTGTGTCGATTTTACCAATTTAAACAAAGCATGTCTGAAAGACAGTTACCCCTTACCTGAGATAGAGCAAAAAATGGAGTAGTTAAGGGGTATCGATGCAAATCCTTCGTAGATGCATACAAGGGGTACTACTAAATCCAGATGGCCGATGACGACGAGGATAAAACAACATTCCACAAGGAAAAAGGAACCTTCTGTTACACAAAAATGCCCCTCAGACTAAGGAACGCAAGGGCAACATACCAAAAAATGGTAGATAAGGTGTTCAAGCGACAAAAGGGTAGGAACGTTGAGGTGTATGTCGATCACATGGTCATCAAGAGTAAAGGGGAGGAAGACTTTTTGAGTGACATAGAAGAAACAATGGCTCGGTTACGGGAAACAAATACGAAGCTCAATCCCAAAAAATGCGTGTTCGGTGCTCAGAAAGGAAAGTTTATGGGTCCTATGATTTCGAATGAGGGAATAAAGGGGAACCCAAGTAAGGTGAAGGCGTTGTTAGAACTTAAGACCCCTTATCCGACCAAAGATGTACAAATCTTGAACGGAAAACTAGCGGCATTGGGAAGATTCTTGGCCAATTCAGAAGACCAATCACTCCCATATTACCAAGCTTTAAAGAAACAAGTAGGCAAAAATGACATTGTATGGACAAAAGAGGCAGGAGAAGCACTCGTAAGGCTGAAGGAATGCCTCAGGGAGTTACTTACCCTGGAATTTCCTAAGTCGGAAGAGCCACTTGTAATGTATTTTGCTACAAATCGGGAAGCAATTAGCACGGTCATCATTTCCTAAAGAGAAAAGAAGAAAGTTTCGGTTTACTTCGTCATCTGTGTACTACAAGACGTACAGATCAATTATGCCTTGATAAAGAAGTTGATCCTCTCCTTGGTGTATGCAGTGAAAAGACTACGAAGATACTTCCAGGCTCACCTTGTATCCGTGTTACTGATCAGCCACTTAAACAAATCTTAATGTAGCCAGAAAGATCAGGCAGGATGACTAGGTGGGCCATAGAATTAGGAGAATATCACACTACGTACAAACCAAGAACGAGCATGAAGGTGCAAGCATTGGCAGACTTCCTAAATGAGATCCCGGATGATAAGGTGAAATCAAGCGTATGCGCTATAAAATATTTGAATACAAAGGCTAGAGGGAAAGAGATTGCCTTGGAGGAAGAAAGTACAGAAGACGATAGTTGGATCCTTCATATGGATGGGGCCTCTATTTGTGATGGATCTGGGGAAGGGGTCGTTCTAGTAAGTCCAACAAGCGATCGTATCACTTATACACTACGTTTTCATTTCAAGTTCTCCAAAATGAAGCGGAGTATGAGGCTCTCCTCACAGGTTTGTAATTGGCAATAAGCATGAACGCGATGAATATAAGAGCATTCGGAGACTTCAATGTTAGTAGCTAGTCAGGTCAACAGTATACAGGAAGCGAAAGAGGGTCATATCAAGAAATACGTGGAGAGAGAAAAATAAATGATCGAACAATTTTGGGAATTCCCTATAACTCAAATTCCTAGGTTAAAAAACAAAAAGGATGACGCTTTAAGTAAGCTAGCATCAATGGCGTATCATCATTTGTCGAAAAGAGTTTTCATGGAGGTATTTCCTAGAAGGAGCATTAAAGAGAAATCATGGATAACGCCCTTCATTGGGCAAGTTTTAAAGTTAGAACATGAGTAGAAATCATGGATAACGCCCTTCATTGGGCACCAAAGGAAAGGAATCATGTCATCATGCGAAAAAGAGGCACGAAAAATAAGGGTTAACATAGCTAATTACACTATGTTTGTCGGATGATTATACAGGAAAGGTTACTTGATGCCTTGGCTTAAATGTTTGAGCAACAGGGAGGCCGAACAGGTGATTCACGAAATACATGCAGGGGAATGTGGTTCCCACTCTAGAACAAGGGAATTCGTACTCAAAATCATACAAGCAATGTACTTTTGGCCAACCATGACGAGCGACACTAATGAGGCAATCTGAAGGTATCTTAGTCGCCAAATTCATTTGAGCCTACCAAATCTGCCTTCGATGGTAATGAAAAGCTTATCAAGCCTGTGGCCGTTTTGTAATGGGGAACTGATATCGTGGGACCATTCCCAGAGGCCTCCGAAAGATTGAAATTCTTGATATTAGCAGTTGATTACTTCACTAGATAGGTGGAAGCAGAATCCGTGGAAGTCAGCAATGGAAAAAAGATCGTCAACTTCGTATGGAGGCAAATAATTTGTCGATTTGGTTTACCTTACATCATTGTCAGTGACAATGGGAAACTGTACGTAGAAATCCCATTCAACACATGGTGACGAGACTAGAGTATAAAGCAAAACTTCATATTGGTAGCTCATCGTCAAGGGAACGGACAGGTAAAAGAAATGAACAAGAGAATCCTAAAATGGATCAAAACTAGGCTAGGAAGAGGAAAAGGAAACTGGGTAGACAAGTTGCAACACGTCATCCTACCGAACAACTTTCCAGTCTCCTACAAAAGAGACGATGTTCAACCAGGTCTATAGGATCGAGGCAGTGGTATCGATCGAAGTTAGTATCCGAACCACTAGGACCACCAATCCCTGCAAGGATTCCAATGCGGTGAACATGCGAGTCAACCTAGATCAGCTAGAGGAAAGACGATGTAATGCCGCTATACGCCAATCAGCTTACAAAGGGATGACAGAGTGTTATTACAACAAAAGAGCCCATGATTGAGCTTACGCATTGGGTGATTTGGTGTTGAGGAAGAACGACGCGAGCCTACAAGAGGATAGTGGTAAGCTAGGCCCCAATTTGGAAGGATCGTATTGAGTGGTGGAGACTGGACGAAATAGATTATATGTTCTAGAGATGATTCAGGGCATCAAACTGCCAAGAACATGGAATATGCATAATCTGTGTATCTTCTATTTTTGATTTGAAATCAAAAGAAAAAAAGAGGCTCATAAAGGAGTAGTTCAAGAAAGCTAAGAAAGAAGAACGTTTTGGGGAAACTAGAAATGCTAATGTAGTTGATGCAAGTTGGGAAGTTTGAAATTGTACTCCCTAACGATTAATGTAGCTTTTAGTTTTAATTTAAATCGATGGTTTGTTTTGTGTGATACATACATTGTAAGAAAACAAAAACTAACGACATTAAACAAGTTACCCTAGTATCGATATCAAGGTTCGACCACGTAAAAGACTGCCATGGTTTGCCTACCGTGGCTCGATCTTATCAAAACCCATCATAGGTGATGCCTTATGATTGGTTTAAAGGAGGATCGTCATGGTATGGTCACCCTAACTCGATCCTACAAAAGCCTTCACGATTCAAACACTATGAGTAGAGCTAAAACAAAGATCACCATGACCTAACCATTGTAGATGATCTTGCCAAAGCCATCATAGGCCATACCTTACTGTGAGTAGAGCTAAACGAAAATCACCACAGCTCGGCCAACATAGCTCGATCCTATCAAGTTCGTCATAATCTGAACCTTATGACTAGGTTAGAAAATGATTGTCATGACATGACCATCATGAGTTGATCCTTTCGAAGATGTCTCAGTCCGGACACTATGACTAGGTTAGGAAAAGATCACCACGGTTTGACCAACGTGGTTGGATCTTGCGAAATCCACTATGGTTCGAACACCTTAGTTGGAAAAAAAGAGGGGCCACAACTTTATCGCTATGTTCTAGACTTGCTAAAGCCACCATAGTCAGGAATTTGTGGTCCGACTAGTTAACATGGGAGTTAAGATGTAATGGTTCGGCAAAATAAGTGTTGACTAAACATGATCCAACGTAAAGGACCCAAAGTTTTAATTAGTATTAACAATATTTCAGTGCCATTTTGAGGGTAATATAAGATACCCCGAGAGTATGCTTTCATAAAACAAAGATGTAAATAAATAAGTGAAAAGTGCAAGTGTCATTCATCATGAACAGAGATATATTTATACTTTTCTTACAACAAAAGACAAAGTTTTCAAATAGAGAATACAAAAAAAACAATGATCATTCGTCAGAACCAGTCACAGAAGAATCCATCTTTTCCAACTGATTCTTCAAGGAACTAGCAACCACATCATTACCTTCCAACATCTTAAATAAAGAATAGTTGAAATTGGTTAGCTCAGAAAAACGTTATAGGACCAACTCGGCGACACCAGCAAAAGAGTAAGGAAGCTCAAGACCAACAAATGCTTCAGGGTATCGGGCTACTATATCGGCACACTCTTGGTGCTGGACGAGCTGAAAAGCTGCTTCCTGAAGGGAAGCATTAACATGCCCAACATCCTCTGAATTCAGCAGAGATCGTAAAAAGAAGGGGATACCCTGCTTCAACAACCACTAAAGGTCGAAGGAATGTTGCTCGGATATTTTTTGATGAAACAATATATCTTGCTTAATCAAAGCATTCTCATCTTCCATTTCCTTGAGAAGCAACTTTTTCTCCTCTAAGGATTAACGATAGCTAGTAACCTCATTCTCTAATTTCTTGATGCGGACGTCGTTTTCGGAGCAAGCTATGTCTAGAATAGAAAATTTCTTTGAAAAGTGAGTCTCTAAGCCAGTGAATTGTTGAGTTAACTCTTCCAAAGCCATGACCGAGGATGCCAGTTGATTTCATACCTCTTCTAATTTTTCCAAAAGAACAAGTTTATGCCGATGCAGCTCCTCACGGACTCGAGCGAATTTGGCCAACTCAAGCGTCAATTGTTTTATTACTGGAAGATAACTCGATATTCTTTTGCATCAGCTCTGACTTCTCCAACTCCAAAACTTAATAACTTGATCAAAGTTTGTCCATACATTTTGAAAGCTTGTTGAACTCCATGTTCTTGACACGAGCTACAGAAACATGAGCCTTGTTGCATAGAGAAACTTCATTGATCCCAATGTAAACCCTCAAGGATGTGGGAATGAGCTTTTTCCATTCCTTATTCATCAGTCATCTTACTAAGACCTCGCTTATTGGCACACCTGGTAGATGCATAAGGATGAAGGAAATAAGGAAGAAAAGAAGCTAGAGACATCAAAGTAGGAAGGGGAGCTTGATTTTTCACAGGAATAAAATCTACATGTAAAAAAACAAAGTCAATAAGGAATAGCAATGCCAATGCGAAAAGTCAGAAAAGGGAGCAAACATGATTACACTTACCAAACTTCGGCATAGTGGAACCCGGAGGAGCAACACTCATCACATGCATACCTTCGGAGGGAGTGTAGAGAGCCATGTTATCTCTCGAAGAAATCAAAGTCTCAACATAAATCATATCGGAAGCAGAGACAATAGGAGCTCTAAAAACTGGTTCAATTACGCCAAGGGGAGTAGCGGCGGTGGTGGTTGGAATCGGGGATCGGACGCAAAATAACTTCTCCCACAAGGCTCGCTTAGATGAACGTTTCTTAAGAAAAGACATGACATGAAGGATCTTGGAAGTATGGTACTATAATTTTTATTTGAGAGTCAGTGGAGGAAACAAGATTTGTGGGACGAGTCGAAGGAGTTAGAGGAATCTGATGGCTATGTTTGACAACATAAACGAGAGTGATGAGAGAAATGGATTCTACGATGGCTTCAGTTATGGCAGTTAACTTTGGGTTCAAATGAATGGGGCACTCATGTAGCTCGGTCGACTCGGCAGTGACCTCTGGAGTTGAATGGCCGACATTATCTGTAATATCATCGGGGGTAACGCCCTCACCGTGATCACTGACATTCGAAGACGTAGCAAGCTTAGAAGGGCGAGCTGTGTGAGGATGCTTGGGGAAGAAATGCTCAAAGGATTGTGAGCAAGGGTAACACCTACATCCCCGGAGGCGGTCTCACTGACAAGTACCATCGCTCTACTCTTTCGTTTGGATGAACCTTTTGGAGGCTAAGAAGAGAAATTGGGAGGCTTGTCACGAGGGTTATCAGCCTTTTTGCCTTTTCGAGGGGGGAGATGAGGCCATGGTATGGTCTCCAACATCGTCATGAACATGAGAATCAATGCTCGATTCAGATTCCAAATTAGGGTCAACATCAGTAGAAGCAACCGATCATGTTGCAGGACTCTTACCAGATTTGGAAGAAGAAGCAAGGTGCTTTCAATGAAGGCGTTCATGTAGGGACACCATTGACCCCATAACACGACGGTAGGAGGTCTATCAATCACATAGGCAACACCGCCTAATTCAACAAGTTCAAGGGTAGAATCTTTAGGGTCAACCCACTTAACAAAATTCACTACAAACAATCAATGAAAAGTTCAAGAGTATATAAATACCCACATAACCAGAAGGAGGGTCGATAATAGATTGGTTCTCCAGAGGAGGTAGGGGCTTGAATTGAGGATCAATGTGGTAATATTTAACAAAATCATCTAGCAATTTCTGGGTCATAGAGGATGGAATCATATGAATAGATTGACTATATTTTTCCATAGAGAAAAGGTAATGAAGCAAGCAAACAAAAAGAAAGAAGAGGGCAGTAAATGAAGGAAATTAATGGGAACTAACGATTCAACCGTGCCCAATAAATAAGGATACAAGTGCAAAATCCTAAAGCGACAGTTACTCAATAAGTGATGATCAATTTAACAATATTAAGAGTCAAATCAACTGTTTGATTCGTCATTATTCATTACCCTTAATTATACATGAACCCCAAGGATAACAGCTTAAATTAGAATCTTTAAAAATAATTCGAACTTAGGGGACTTAATGAGGTATGACACCTCTAGCAAGGTCAAAGCGAACATGTCGAGGCCGAATCGAACATGTCGATGCCGAGCCAGACATGATAAAACTGAGTTGGGAACATTACGGCCGAAGTGTGCGAATGATTATGTCACACCCCGACCGTCGGCGGAAACACCAGGCGGTGTAACGTCATTTCTCATATCATAGTTATCAACTTCCTGAAAACACATGCATTTTAAAATACGTCAACATAAAGTTGGTGAGTCCATAGGTTTTGACTCCATATAAAAATAATACATTTTCAAAGTTCAAAAGTATCATTTTGAAAGTATCATTTTGACTCTCCAACGTTTAGTATATATATCCTAGGTATAATGGTTTACTTACCAAATAAGTATATACCTATAAGTCTCATATATTATAAATATAAATGTTTGTAATTCCATACAAACTAAGTTGCTACGTATAAATCTTATTTCAATTCTATACGAGTAAAACCGCTACGTATAAATCTATTTCAATTCTATACGAGTAAGTAGGATATGTATAGTGGTCTACTTAATATACAAGTAATATACCTACTAGATTCTTATACTTAGAGTATAAGTCTTTGAGAAACTTATACTTAACATTCATACTTGTATATCGACAAAGTATAATGCTTCTAAAGTTGTGCTACCATGAGTCTGTAGCTGCGACTGTATGACTAAGTTTTATACCTCTTATTATTATTATAAGGATCACACCTTATGGTAGTTACAAGGATCACACATTGTGGTAGTTACAAGGATCACACCTTGCGGTAGTACAAGGATCACACCTTGCGGTAGTACAAGGATCACACATTGCGGTAGTTACAATGATCACACCTTGCGGTAGTACAAGGATCACACCTGGCGGTAGTACAAGGATCACACCTTGCGGTAGTTTCCGCATGATTCATCGACGTCGGAAGGTAGTAAATTAGGCATGTTCGTCACTCGAATACCGTTGGGTTGGAGCTAGCACCCACGGGTGGGGTTGTCAACCCGTATAGATCCATATACAACTTCCTCGCTCACACGGGATTAACGGTTACAGGTCAGAGGATTTCCACTAAGATTTCCAATCTTAGTTGATGAATACAATAGCTCATGTAAACTTTGACGGAGTTCTATAGTTCTAATAACAAAAGCATTTTCGTGTCTAAAACCCTAAGTTACTAGACTATGCTTTTAAACATTACTCCTAATTTCATAACATTTAGGCAGTATAACAGCTATAACTTGAAGTAAAACTAGGTTTTATCTTGACATAAAACCAACAATAATATATAACATATCAAGTTTTATCTTGACATAAAACCAACAATAATAGCATATAACATATCAGGTTTTATCTTGACATAAAACCAATAATAGCAACATACTTTTTAACATATAGAACTCCCGAATATACTTCGGAACTATATCGCACACAACATATATATAGAATCCTAAGTATAACTCAAGATCTACATTAATACAATAACATGCTAACAAGTTGATAATAGTTTTATATATTCAAAATATTATATTTAGAACAACTATATCCTGGTTAATATAACTATCTACATTGATACTAATATATTATCATATAGACATAATAGTAACGTATATACAATTTTAGCATGCGTTTTCCCCCGAAAATATTAGAAAGTGGGGCCGTGAAACTCACCTTAATATCGTGCTTCGATAGAATCTAACTGAAAACAGTCAGCGGTTCGCGATCACCGGGGTCGAGAAGCGAAACGGCTTCAGCAAACGAGAGAGAGAGAGAGAGAGAAGAGATTAGGTGTGAGGAATGGCTGAGGTCGAAGCCTCTATTTATAGGCTGATTTTTGGCCCTCACGATGTGAGAATGATAGATCCACGTCGTGAGCTATGGCAAGAGTCATCCCGTAGCTTTAACGCGTGTTTTCTAGCCTCGAATAGTGTCCTGCAGCGTCCTCACGTCGTGAGAAAACCTTGCTCACGTCATGAGCTTTTGGGTTATTGTTCCGTAGACTTCTAGCTTCAAAATGTGGTGGTTTGACTCCTCACATCGTGAGTTTTTATGCTCACATTGTGAGTCCAATCAGATTAGGGTTTCTGACATGTGTCATGCTCTCAGACAGCTGTAACTTCGGAAGGTCATAACTTTTGCATACGAACTCCATTTTGGACGTTCTTTATATCCACGCGTAGGTATTTACGAGTACAACAACTTTATTTTAGATTTCAATAGCTAATTCTAAGCCTATTTTAAATTCCTCTTGTTATAGAGATTTTATAGTGTTAGAGTTTATCATAACTTCTTCATGCGAAGCCAGATTTCGACGTTCTCTATATTTTTGGAATCGTATGGACGTATACTTTGATTTATACTATAAAGTATGTATGAAAGTTCATATTTATATTAGAATTTATCATGAACTACATATTAAGTTTATCACATTACTAGTTTAACAAAATCACATTACATGATTGGTATAATCACATGTGATTGTTATTGACCTATTTTGACTATTGTTACAGATTAAGAATGTTATAAATGAATGATCAAAGATATCAGATATAGGAAACATGGGGAATGATACACGATAGGCTGCAATTACGCTATGGATGAAAGCTAATCTCGGTTATTTATAATGACAAGACTCGTTACTCTTCCTATATATCGCTTTTGTACCCCCGACCTAGGAAAGCATTAATGACGATAGGACGGGGGCCTACTCGGCCCGTATTCATTCCTATTTCCTAAGCGTTAAGGTATAAAAGCAGTCTGGTGTCGAAGCTTCAAAGGTATGCGATCTAAGCTATCCTAGAAGAATATATCGAATTCATCTTCATGTATATAATGGTTTCCAATTCTCGGTAGATGTATAATGGTTGACATAAAACCAACAATAATATATAACATATCAAGTTTTATCTTGACATAAAACCAACAATAATAGCATATAACATATCAGGTTTTATCTTGACATAAAACCAATAATAGCAACATACTTTTTAACATATAGAACTCCCGAATATACTTCGGAACTATATCGCACACAACATATATAGAATCCTAAGTATAACTCAAGATCTACATTAATACAATAACATGCTAACAAGTGATAATAATTATATATATTCAAAAATATTATATTTAGAACAACTATATCCTGGTTAATATAACTATCTACGTTGATACTAATATATTATCATATAGACATAATAGTAACGTATATACAATTTTAGCAGGCGTTTTCCCCCGAAAATATTAGAAAGTGGGGCCGTGAAGCTCACCTTAATATCGTGCTTCGATAGAATCTAACTGAAAACAGTCAGCGGTTCGCGATCACGGGGTCGGGAAGCGAAACGGCTTCAGCAAACGAGAAAGAGAGAGAGAGAAGAGATTAGGTGTGAGGAATGGCTGAGGTCGAAGCCTCTATTTATAGGCTGATTTTTGGCCCTCACGATGTGAGAATGATAGATTCACGTCGTGAGCTATGGCAAGAGTCATCCCGTAGCTTTAACGCGTGTTTTCTAGCCTCGAATAGTGTCCTGCAGCGTCCTCACGTCGTGAGTAAACCTTGCTCACGTCATGAGCTTTTGGGTTATTGTCCCGTAGACTTCTAGCTTCAAAATGTGGTGGTTTGACTCCTCACATCGTGAGTTTTTATGCTCACGTCGTGAGTCCAGTCAGATTAGGGTTTCTGACATGTGTCATGCTCTCAGACAGCTGTAAC